GTTTTGTGGAAAAGTTTTGAATCTTTGGAAACAAGCCACAATAAACATATCCAAACACAGTAGACTCCAATAATGAAACAAATGCCCATACAGCAAAAACTGATTTGTTAAATCCATCAAATCATAGACCAAAAGCTTTAAAAAGTTGTATTTGTAAAATATTCGAAAGGATAATCAATGACAGGTTGACATCATACCTTAAATTGAAAAATTCAATATCAAAATTACAATCAGGTTTTATGAACAAAAGAAGTACAACTGATCATTTGATCAAACAAAAGACCTTCATAAGGGGAGGCATTCATTAAAAAAGAGAACCTAGTGGCAATTTTCTTTGATTTAGAAAAGGCATAAACACCACATGGAAGTATGGAATCATGAGAGACCTTCAAAACCTCGCATTGAAAGGTAGAATGCCACTCTTTATTCAAAACTGCCTAGAAAATTGAAATCGTACATGTGTGAACCACTATCTCTGACTTAAAAGAGCTGGAAAATGCTGTTCCCCAAGGAAGCATCCTGTCAGTCACCATTTCCAAAATCAAAATTAATAACATTATTAAAAGTGTCAATTCTGGAATAGATTGCTCACTATATGTGGATGATATTTTTAAAAATATTGCTGATCAAAACATGTGTGCCTCAGAGTGCAAATTGCAACTGCATTTAAATAAGATCAGCCGATAGATGTGCACCTCACAGAGTGCAAATTGCAACCACGTTTAAATAAGATCAGCAAATGGACTAAAGAAAACGGTTTTAATTTTCCCAAACCAAAACAAAGTACATTTCTGCAACCACCACAAAATGCACAGTGATGATCCATATTTAATGCTGAATGGAAAGGAAATACCAGACAAATATAAGTTTCTGCCCATTATATTTGATAAGAAATTGTTTTTCATCCCCTGCTCCATATAAATTACTTAAGCCAAAAATGTAAGAAGGCAATCAATGTACCCAGAGTTACAGCACCCAGTGATTGGGGAACTGATAAGAAATCACTTCTAAAAATTTACAGAACAATTGTCAGATCAAAACTTGACTATGTTTGTTTCATCTATGGTGCCACAAGACATTCATAACTCAAAAAATTAGAAACAATTCATCATCAAGAGCTGAGACTCACACTGGGCACTTTCAGTATGTCTCTGGTGGATTCTATATATAGAAGCAAATCAATCACCTCTATCATCAAGAAGAGGAAAGTTAGCACTCGCATACGTTAAAAAATTATCATCATGCCCATCAAATCCTGCCTATCACTGTGAATTTAAAACTCAGTACAAAACCCTCTGTGGTGAATAAAGAAAACAGCAACCAGCGAGTAAATTCAAGCTCTCCCAGCTGGTATTTCAACCTCGAGTTGTTCCTTCTCGAGTTCTGTCTCAAAATCACACCAACAGACTGTTCTAGCCACCAACCGTGAACATCACTCAAAGAACTCACCACACTGGGAAAAGGTCATTGCTTTTATATTTGTCCATATACCCATAATCCCTTGCGTCTTCATGTGATCCCATAATTCATTGTGTCCCTGTCCCATAATGCATTGCATCTTTATTGCATAAAAATGCAATGCAAGTCCCCCCTCATTCTTTTATGTTATCTGGCCGAGGACGGATTACGGCAGAGCGGTAAGTGCTTTTTTTCTCCCTCATTTCAACTGCAGTAGCTTTACATGCTAAGCAAATACGGGGTCTTTTTGGGTGGGGACAAGGCAAGTCGCGACCAGTTTTGCTCGTCCCAGGTTCTGTCTCATGTCTGCCACACCCTCTTTGAGAAAAAGTTCAATATTATTAAACCCTTCAGCTATTGTATCAAGGAGCAGTGAAATGAAAATGGTTCCATACACCAATCAATCATCTCCCAAACTCCATCCACCCCCCCACCCAGCAATTGAACCCACCAAAATTTTTATACTTGATTTGTCAAAATGTTCAAAGAACAGAACAAACCCAATCATATTTTCATGATGCATTTGAAAACATAAAAGACCAGTATTCAGGCTATAAATGTATATATACAGATCTAAAGATGAAGATGCAGTGGGAAGTGCAGCCATCTATGGCAGCAAAGAATACACAAAAAGGACTGCATCAATTTACACTGCCGAGTTAACAGCCATTGATCTGGCATTGAACATAAGCAAAAGCAGCAGATCAAACAAATTCATGATATGTACAGATTCAAAATCATCACTTGAAGCGCTATAAAATAAAAATATGAAAAATCCACTAATAATTCAACTTAGTAACAGAATCAACAACCTCTGTAACACAAAAATGATTTTCTGTTGAATACCAAGATATGTTGACATTCATGGAAATGAAAAAGTGGATAAAGCTGCCAAAAGATTATTATGTACATTATCAAAACAAACACTAAAATTCCATACACTGATTTAAAACCAATAATTCATATGTTTATAACAAACAAATGACAAATTCTCTGGGATAACTGCACTAACAATAAACTAAAAAAATTCAAGCAATGATCAAGACTGACCCAATGACTAACTCTAGTAGCTTTGATGAAGAAGAAGAACCATATCAAGTGATCTTCAGATATGAGAGACAAGGCCAATGGGTTGATTCCAGTTCCTACATTGGCCAAGTCATTGCAATAATCAAGTTTCCAGCTTCAACTAAGGGTAGAGAAACAATTATTTCTGATGGCCTTTGGTGGGTGACATTCCACAGGTTTTGTCTTAAGATGGGACTTAGGTGTAATGCCACTTGATGGTAGAATCTGGAATGTTCCAGAAATATTGGTTATAGAAGCCTCAAGACTGCAAGTCACCATTAGGAGAGGAAATGCAGTAGGACTGTTCAAACATCTCAGAAAGTCTTTTTCATCAGTTCCAATAAATGTAGTTTTATTCATTTCAATTTTTTTTTTAAATTTAAAAATTGAGTTTTAAGGTTTACAAGCATTTGTTTGAAAAATTGACCATTGATTCCATTTGTATAACAAGTTGCAAAGTTTTCATGTTGTCAGTCCTTTTTGGGCAAGTCAAAGATTGTATTAAAAAAATAAAAATCTAATACATTTACAAGAAAAAGTTTTAATATTATAGACAAAATAACTGTTTTGTAGAATTCCTCATCCAAAATGTTTCAACCCCCCCCCACCAGATACTTTTTTTTGTACCTTAGTATCACATTTTGCTTCTACCTGTAATTACATGATGAAATAAGTGTTGTTTTACTGATGTACTCCTAGGGAGAAAAAAAAATTAGCTTAATCACCAAGATGCTATAAAACATAATCAATCAATATATCAATGATTTAACTGTAGAATTGAAATTTATATGAATGGTGAAAGTTGCTTTCCTGTGCGATTTTTTAACTGTTTTTAGGATGGAATGTGATACACCCATCCTGTTTAGGCTGGTCTTATCTAATAATTATCAATTCCATTAAGATTATCTTTCTTTTATGACTAAATGACATTGCATTTATGATTTTTCACTTGTTTGAAGCCTGCATCTTCACTGTTAAAATGGGCTTCTGGCCCAATCACACTAACGACAGAAAATCCAGTGAACTTTGAATGGTCATAACTCAGTTGCTAATTGAGTGAGCAACATAAATTTGGTACCATTTTTATATTTTGTCAAGCTCTATATGCATACATGAAAAGTGTTTTTGTTTTGTTATTTTTTTAGATATATTGAAAATGAAACAAATTTGGGATACCTATTAATAGTAAATACATATACATTTTTTTTTTTTTACTCACTGGTAGCACAACTGAGTTTCATGCACAATGCAATTGTCAGGAGCTGATTGCAGTTTTCAATCAGCACCTGACAATTGCATTGTGCATGAAACTCAGTTGTGCTACTAATAAGGAAAAAAATATGTAATACATATTAATGACACCAGTCAGAGGTTTCATTTATAAATTATGTTCCTTTTTCACTCAATGCATGAGATGCACTATGCTTCTTATCCTCTGCTGAGGGGATCAGGAACTCCATGTCAATTGCATCAATATCTCCGCCCTCGCAACACATCGTTCTTTCTGAACATACTCTAATTAAAATTTTCAGTTTATCTCTGAATAATGATCTTATAATAAAAAGAAATACATTAGCATGTGTTGAAGAGGGTTGAACCGGTAGAAGATATACTTTATGGGAAGAGGGAGATAATTTTTTGAACGTATCATTTTTAAATTCTTGAGAAATACTTATTTTTTAATATTTCGATTCGATATAACAATCTCTCATTCAGAAAAGATGTTCCAACATCATCTAAGACTTCTTTTTTTTTTTTCAACATTCCAAGTTTTGTTCTGATAATTCTTTTTTCGTACTCTTGATGTTAGTTTCGGCCGATTCATTCTCTACACTTACAGGCTTCAGTCAGGTGTAACTGTAATGCGTAGGAAATAGGTTTTTTATTCTTTTCTTATGGTACACACGTGACGTGACACAGAGTAAAGAACGGATCGGTCGAAACGATGTTACAAACCTAAAGGATTTCTGTTCAAACAAACTGTTAGAGAATAAACATTGTTTCTATTACGAACAAATTGAGACAGATAATGAAATTGAAATATAAGTTGTCTTTTTCTTATTTTCACATCTCTCATAAACTTAAGATTTGGCTCCTCAGTAATAAACCAAAACATTTTTAGAAACGAAGTGGTTTAAAAAAAAAAACTTTTACAACATATAAGTTACTATTATTACCGGTTTTCACTTTCTTAATGAGAAATGTTGATACCTGTTGTGTTGCGGTAAGTTATCTGATATTTTTAAATTAATTTTCAAAAACTAAAATTCAACACGTAAATATTTTTCTACAAATCATTTCCTCCAAGTAAACGAACACACGTGGAAAAACTGGCGAAGAAAAAGATAAGAAATCTGACAATTACCTATTCATGAAAATATTTTTTAAAGTTGCCAAAAGGATATATGATAATCCGGGGATGATGATAAAAATTCTCGCTGCAAGAGAAAATAAATATTATTAAAATTACTTACAAGCGACTGTAAGATAATCCGACTGCCTCCACCACGTGTAGTTTAAAATATCTACAGCTAGCACCCACTTTTCAAACCATTGTTTCGTAATTAATCTTTTCTTACAGTTTTTTGGATTTTTTTGAAAATATTTAACATATCAAAATTTAAAAAATGCACTTGATAATTATTAATTTTTATGTTATTATTTTAATTTGAAAATAATCATAATTTCAAAATTTTCGGAAATCTTTGTAATTAATAATTATACTTTCGTATCTATTCTTAAGTTGCGATGTAAATATTTATTTATCAGGTGTTTTTTTTCTTTTAAAACTGTTTTATTTTTATTGATTTGAAAATAATATTCAATTAAAAAGTATTCAAATTGTTTTTTTCTTTAAGGTTACTTTTTTCTTCAATGAAAGCAAAAAATCGTCATCTTTTTTTTTTTTTTTTTTAATATTTGCCAAAAATCAGGAAATTTTTCGACTCAAACGAAATTTTCAGGACCTATTCATTTTTTTTTAGTGAATGAATAAGTCATTAAAATAAAGCTCAGGGGAAATATATTTTGGGGGTATGTTTCACACCCCTTTTCAATATAGAATCTGTAGTTTTTAATTAGTGAGAGGGTCGTTTAGTTTTTTTTACAGAAAAACTAAAAAAAAAAAAATCCCTGAATATTATTTCAGTTAAAAACATTTATCATATGCAATATCGAGTATGAACATACGGCAAATTCGGCCCTTGCCAAAAACATGTTGCACCTTGGTGAATACCCGACGTCCAAAAACCTTCCTAATTTACCACATCGATTGATGTCCAACGACGACGTATAAAAAAAAGAAAACATCTTCTTATTCACTACACGATTTGGAAAAAAAAAATGACATCAAAATGATAAAAATCTAAAAAAAAGAAACCAACCACACTTTTAGTGAAAACAACGCAAAAAAAACAAAAAACACTTCACATTCATTACTAAGAGATAAAAAAAAAACAGTGACACCACAAAACGATAGCAAGAAACAAAAAAAAAAAAAATTACGCCCCCTTCCAACAAAACGAAAAAAATTGCTGAACACTCAAGACAACCATCTCAACGAATACAACCATTAAAAAAAAAACAAAAAAAAAAAAACACAACTATACACCCTGGGAGGGGACTTCATAAAAAACTATGACTATTTTATTTTAAATAGGCATCCATCACTACCGACTAGCTCCACTAATTTGGTAGAGATGTGATGTAGCAAATATTATTATTATAATAAATAAATAAAAATAATAATGAGAATTATAAATAAAATAAAGTAAATAAATAACATAAAAACATTGTATAAAAAAAGAAATTAAATAAAAATTAAAAATAATAAAAATACTCCCAGCATGCAGCAAAAACTGTTCCTGCTGGAAATATGGACATCCTGCCAAAAGACATTAAATGCAATCTCTTCACCACAAACCTTAATACAGGCATCACGTGTGTAACTTCTCTCTGTAATATTGTTGCAATCATCATCGCTATCACACACACATACATACATACAAATCATATGACAAGCATTTGTAGCGGAGCCTTTCCCAATCACATGGTCACCAATCATGTTGCGAGGTGCGAAATGGACAACGGTTCAGCAATGAAAATGTGAAGGATTATCAATCAGATGTGGCGGATCCCACCACATTTATTTAACTTTGATTAGGAATGACGTGGAAAAGGACAAGCAAAGACTCTGGAGGTTACCATCAAATGTAGCAGACACATGCAATTTATATTTGACGTAAAATAGCACATAGCAAAAATACAAGACAGAATGTAATGGTTCAAAAACATAACATTTGAATTTATTTGTTTTGATGTACATGCATATAAGCTAAAGATAGATAGAGTTACATCTCTTAGATTTGGAAAATATTTGTACTGGAGCTCACTAAGTTGAATTAATTATTAAACTGTAGTTTTAGAAGAATAAAGTTCCTGTTGCATGTTAAGAAATGTGGGTTGGAAAAGTTGGTAGAGTTCAGAAGAGTTAAGAGTTCGTACTTGCGTGAATGTTGGTAATGTTCTTTAACATCTGACTGCAAGGTTAAGACGAGAGTTCTTGAAGGTCACATCTTGGCAGCAAAGAAGGAGACAAAAGAGAAAATGGAGAGAGAAGGCTTACTTGTGTTTTGTTTATATAAGGTGGTGTATCACATGATCGGCTCCAAAGCTTGTGTTCAGTTTGATTGGTTGGAATTGACCAATCAGCAAGCTAGTTTTGAGGAGATTAGCCAATGAATGCTTGTCGTATGATCTGTATGTATGTATGTATGTGATAGTGATGATAATCACTACTCATTCATTGGCTAATCTCCTCAAAACTAGCTCGCTGATTGGTCAATTCTGACCAATCAGATCGCCTGCACGCGAAGAATAAGATTTCCCATGCACAAGGCTGGGAGCCTGTCACGTGAGGCACAACCTTATATAAACAAAACACAAATAAGCTTCTCTCGTTCTCTTCATTCATCTTTTTCCTTGCTGCCAAGATATAATCTTCAAGAGCTCCCATCTTAACCGTGCAGTCAGACATTTAAGAACATTGCCAACAACTTTTACTGACTTTTTCGCAAGTCGCCAGTAGAGTCCAACAAATTTTGCCTGTCAACACAAACCTATGACTTTACTCACAACATTTCAAATGCACACACACACAGAATTTTGTAAAACATATATACATATCTCTCTATGACTCAGCCAAGTTCAATCAACCAGGACTCTGTTAATTTCTCTGACACAACACACCTTCCGATCAATTGTATTCTTGTGTTATCTATTCTAACAAACAGTCCTTTGTTTTAATATTGATTCCTGAACATTTTTCTCTCACGAGAACTTTCTTTCAAACAATCAAATACAAATCAAAATACGGTAAAAGGGAAGCAACTTCTTTTCCCTTAATCTATACATTGCACACAATATTATTGTATATTTCATTCATATATGTTATTTCAATATATACTTGTTGATTCACATTTGGAGTTTCGTTGTTGTCTTGAATCATTTATTATACAAAATATATACACAGGCCAAAGAACATGCAGCCCCATAACAATATGGCTTGTAATACTACAGAGTAAATTCTCCCTTTTATCACATATACCGTAAAAATAACTGTAACCTAAAAAAATACGCACAAAAAATATAAATAAATTGTATGAAATTAACATACAATTTACAATGCGTTTCCTGTTATTTTTGTACGTTTTATTTCCTGTCAAGTATGCTTTTATGAATGCAAGGCAAATTTCTGCCGCTATGATATGAGTGACAACAACACAAATCTCAAAACAATAAATTCTCTTTGGATTAATCAATTTTTAAATTGAAATTGGTATTATTTTGCAGGATGATTATAGATGTATTATACATTTTATCATGGGTAACAAATTAGATAATTGATAATGCCATCAGATTGGTAAATGCAAAATAATAATAGTGCAAAAAGTCACAATTTCAAATACCACAAACCCAGGAAATTAAATTAAAGGTTTATATGGATAAATTATCATGATAAAGGATAATAATATAATTAGAGAATAATTATTTTATAGCATATATAATGTTATAATAAATAAAAGAGTCAATGTACATTTCAAGTTGTGATCCTTACATCCTTCACAGATTATAATTAGATTTAAGGTTGAGTTCTTAACTTTGTTTTTAAAAAAGGGTATAATCTAGTTATCATTTTCTTAAAAATATTCATCAGAATCCTCATTACAATTGTCAGTGTCAGCTGACATTTCATTTAAATATCTGTTATACTAGAACATACCTATTCTATTGTAAATAGACTCTCCCAGATATAATAAGTAGTACTAGTAGCAGTGGCCAGGGGGCTCAGTGGAGTTGGTGTGTCAGTCAATGTCAGACATTAAAGTATCAACCACCACAAGTAGATTGCTGAGTCATTAACTATTATTTCAAGTTCCTAACGTTTTGTACGTCGGACCCTTTTAGGACCGATTAAGTGAAATACAAGCCTCCACTGTGAAAACTACTGTATAACAACATTAGCGATGAGGGATTCGTTTCTCATACGGAGGAAAAAAAAACTTTTCGTTCACTCTACAACACTTGACGACGTGGATTCGTAACTCATACAGAAGAAGAAAAAAAAGTCACCCGCCATAACAAACTTGGTGTACGAGGGATTTGAATTCATACAGTGAAAGGGAAAAAAAAATTTGCTCGCCACATTATTTAGTGACGAAATTCGTTTTCATACTGAGGAAAAAGAAAAAAAGCTTGCTTGTCAAATTTTCGGTGACAACATCTCAGATTCATATTTAAAGAAAGAAAAAAAATTTGTTTTGCCATATACAACACTTGGCGACGAACGTATTCTGGATGCATATGGAAAAAAAACAAAAACTTGGAAAAGTTTTTCGAAGGACAAGACGTCAACTTAGTGATGAAAAAATCAGTTGTATTCTCAACTGAGAAAAGAATTTTTTTTTTCTCAATAAGACAGTTTGCTCAAATAGGTCACGAATTGCAAATTCGTTTTGGACCCCCCTCTACAATATTTAAGCATTGTGTAAACTTTTTGTGAAGATGGAGGAATGCAAAAATATATTCCAGAAATTTTTTAAGTTCCAGACGGAACAACAAATGACAATTTTAGAGCAACAGAAAACATTCCAGATGCAACTACAGGAGGAAACTTTTAATATACAAATGCAGTTTCAATGAGAAATGGAACTGATGCACAAGGAGTTTCAAAACAAAATTCTGGAAATAACTGAGAAGAGGAGAGAGAAAAATTTACAAAATTATTCTTTCCCAGAGAATACAATATGGAATTCGATTGAAATATTCACATACAGTCCGGATGAAGAGATAACTTCTGAAGAGTATTATAAAAAATATACGGACGTGTATAACGAGTACTGCCACACGTGGTCTGAAGGAAAGAAGGTTAGACTTCTTTTAAGCAAGTTAGGAACTGCTGAGCATAACAAATTGGTAAACTACATTTTACCGAAAAAAAACTAGCGAGTTGACTTTTACCGAGGCGGTAAATATATTAAGTGAATTATTTAGTAAAAAGACATCTTTGTTTCACAAGAGGTGGAAATGTTTGAATCTGATGAAAGATGATAAACAAGACTATATAACGTACGCAGCCAATGTGAATAAGCATTGTGAAGAATTCAAGCTAGCAGAGTTAAGCACCGACAACTTTAAGTGCTTAGTGTTTGTTCAAGGGCTGGTATTGGAAAGTGACGCAGAATTGAGGAAATTGATATTATCAATATTGGAAAACCAACAAAGTATTACGATACAGAGTTTGGCAGAAGACTGCACAAGATATGTTAGCGTAAAGAAAGACTCGAAAAAGATAGAACAGTCTGGCGTTTCGCATGTAAGAAAAAAACGCTAAAAAAAAAGAAAGTCAGTCTACCAAAAAAGAATTCTAAAATTGCAGATTATCAAACAAAAAGTGAAATATCAGAAAAAAATAAACAAAAAATCGCGAAGCCATGTTTGCTTGCGGTGAACTTCACTGATACAGATATTGCAATTTTAGGAATAAAAAATGTTTCAACTGTGAAAAAGTGGGCCATAAAAGTTCGCACTGCAGGTCAAAAAATAAAGACAAAAAGTCCGACGAGGTTAACGATGGAATAACAAGAAAATTTGTTACCATCGAAATAAGTAATAAAAAAATAAAAATGCAACTCGACACTGGTTCCGACCTATCTATCATAAATTTGCATATGTGGAAGAAGTTGGGGAAACCAACTTTAATGAAAACAAATAAAATCGCGAGGTCAGTAACGGGAGAAAAAATACAATTTAGTGGAGAATTTGTTACAAACGTCACGTTAAATAAAAAAACGCAAAAAGCTAAACTAATTGTCATAAAAAATACCACGAACTTACTTGGTACGAATTGGATAACAGAATTTCAATTATGGGATTTACTGATAAATTCTTTCTGTTACAAGGTTGAAAATTTAAACTGTGAAGCCCAAAAATTAGTAAGGAAACTTAAGGAAACATTTCCTACTGTTTTTTCTCCAGGTTTGGGAACATGTACCAAGATGGAGACAAAATTACAGCCAAAACAAAATGCTCAGGCGGTATTCAAAAAGAAAAGGAATGTGCTGTTTGCTTCAATTGAACAGATAGATAAAGAATTGGACAGATTAGAGAAAACCGGTGTATTTAAAAAAGTTGAATGGGTAACACCGACGATATATGTAAAAACAAGCTTCAGAAAGTAAAGATGAAGCCAACACTGAGAAAAACTGAGGAACGAGTTACCCGCAGCCAAGGACATGCAGTATTATTAAATGATTTAAGTCAACAAGAAGAACCTACAGAAACTCTGACTCCATCCTTAAGAAGCTAAAAGTGGAAGGTTGTTTCTGGTAACACTTTGGAGATATAAAAAAAAAAAAAATAGAAAAGCGGATTGGCTATATGATGTACTTGGTGAAAGGGGAAAAACTCACATGCAGTAACTAGATCAGATGACGTTTTTCAGATGTGGTTGACAGCGGTCCCGCAAGAAAAAAAAAAATGCCGATGGAGGTGATTTTCAATACGTTTGATCTAACAACGCCTGCAAATAATTTTACCTGAGGTACGCCGATCCAGAAGAAAAAAAGAAAGGCAACTGATCATTTAAAAGTGGATCAAAAAATGTAGGAAATACGCTACGATGTTGCTAAAAAAAAAAAAGATTTTTTTTTTCTTCATATTTTCTGTAAAAAATGAAAAATAAAGAAAACATTTTACTCCTACGGAGTAAAGTTTTAGGGGGGGATGTTATACTAGAACATACCTATTCTATTGTAAATAGACTCTCCCAGATATAATAAGTAGTACTAGTAGCAGTCACCAGGGTGCTCAGTGGAGTTGGTGTGTCAGTCAATGTCGAACATTAAAGTATCAACCACCACAACTAGATTGCTGAGTCATAAACTATTATTTCAAGTTCCTAACGTTTTGTACGTCGGTCCCTTTTAGGACTGACTTAGTGAAATACAAGCCTCCACTGTGAAAACTACTCTACAACAATATCTATGGTCATCATCATTATCACTGTCAGATTCACAAAGTTTTCAAAAATATTGACAAGCTGAACCGGCATGGTGTCCCCACTAGTCCAGTCTGGTATCATTTCATCATTTTTAACATGAATTTATCCATAATCATTGACTGGTTGAGGTACATCAAGTTTAGCAAATTGTGCTCATTTCCAAATACTGACCTGTTAGTTGACTCTATTTAAATGTTACTGAAGTGTGTCAGTGCAACGTGCTAATGCACTCGTCAAAGTTTCCCGATACATTAAGAGTCCCATTTTCCCTACCATTGCTTGCAACATGAAGAATCTCAGTTCATTGACACTTTTAAATTGCTTATACTCATACAAAACACAGGTAAATTCCTCAATGTAACTTAAAATGTCTTCATTTATTTCCCATGACTCTCCTAATTTTTAAAAAATTTGTGTGATTTCTTTCAGACAATGAAAGACTGCATTTTCATACCTGATTACTAAGCAATTTTCTGGAAGTATTCCATCTTCAGTATCCTGGACAATGTATTGAACCCCTTTTGAATTAGTTAGTTTTGGTTAAAAAAAAGGCAGGAAAACAAATCAAGATACCATGATGCTAAGTTGAATTCAATATGGTGCTGTGCTGAAATGTGGTGTGGTTGCTAAGTAACCAAACATGATAGAATTAGGTGTCATGATGGTGTTTCTGCAAAAGAATGTTAAGAGAATTAACATGCAAAAACAACAAATAATTAAGAAAGCAACCAGAACAAAGTGGAGGACTGGGTTTGCTCATTGGAAATGATGGGATGTTCTCAACCATCAAATCTGGGGCAGATAGCAAGGAAAAGAAAGGAAAAGCAGATTTACTGCATCTTCCTGAGAGAAGAGAAGGAAAAGCAATGTCTGCAGCTTTCCAAGAAGGAAGATGTGAAAAGAGGAAAAGAAAGCAAACATGAATAAAACAGGAAAGGTGGACATCTATACCAAAAAGGCAGAAGACAATTCTACTTCCTTCAATCAACACTTCCATTCAGGGAGATGATCTAATATTTATTTACACTTTTGTACAAAATGTGGCACAAGGCCTAAAAGGGGGGTTGGGGAAGGACGGTCTTCTTCTGTCTTAATTCTAGTCCCAGACACGGACCCAAACATACCAACAATATTCCTATCACCAAAACAACACAAGTATCCATACCTTTCATACTACATCCACCAAAATACCTCTTCGTCTCAATGAAAGTCCTAAATAGTCCCCTTATGTACAAATATTGTTCGTGGGGGGAGGGGCATAAAACAACAATTTTGAAAAAGATCCCCAATGAATATATACAATATGACATAAAATATTTACAAGAAACTAAACAAAAAGGGAGTTAGTAATAAAACTCCCCGCAAACCTTAAATGTGGCAGAAATATCAGTTAACCGGACGAAATCAATGCGGGACTATGAAAAATAAGGAAAACATTCATACCTCCAAAGCATTCACACAGGCACACACACATTCATACACAACAACAGCTACGAAAAAAAATCACACACACGAAAACGAAAAGGCGCCCAAGATCCACCAGAGAACTGACATCACTGACCCCCTAACGAGGGAAGGGATGGGGAATTAAACAAAAGAAAAATAGGGACAGAAATAAAAGGGGCCAATGGGCATGCATACCCTAGCTAAGTTAACCAGAAAACGGGAAACTAAAGATTCAAAATAAAAACCTAAACTAGCCTAATATCGGGGTGGGTTGCCTCTGTTCAACCCTGATAGGATAAAATCCTGTGCCTAACCGACATCCAAGTGCCACTCCAGGTCAGCCCCTTTCACTCTACACATTCGCACAAGATTTACCCACCTTTTGCCAAATTCTGATGAGGGGAGCCGCCGCCTTTCCATCCTAATCTTGAATTTAAGCTGATGCTTAAAGTACAAGATCAGTTGGGAAGAGGTGAACTTCTCGCCATCATAGAATTCCTTCTGACGCATCGTCAGTCTTCGTCAATTGCGGCACCACATTGCTACAGACAGAACTGGCTTCCAGGACAAAAAACTTTCCCTTCAGCATGCGAACCATGAGGCCTTCAACAAACCCGCACAATGGCACTACTGTCTTGCACTGAAAAAAGGCGTGACCAATGGTCTCAACTTCCCCAGTACAGCGATGACAGCTTGGATATTTCTCCAAGCCAGCTGAACAAAGTCTCTTGCCGACCCAGAGGGCCCCCATGAATCATCAGCCAGGTGAGTGATGCCTCATCATTATTGAGACATTTCAACCCAGGCACCCCATTCAGAGAGATGATTATTAGGGACCAAAAAAGCTCTGTATATATATAAGATTGTTATAGCAGCTTAACTTAGCTTGTCTTTCCTATTTCTTTGCCTAAAAAATTAAGTAGACATTTAGAAAACATCTTTTCTTTAAGCAAAGGTTCCTACTAGTATTCTGGAACTGTTCATCAAGTTTTTATGTATTATATATACATAATTTTTGAAACATTAAAAGTTTTGTTAAAATTGAGAACCACTGGTTACGTAACAAAACCATTGTGAGTCAAAGGAGCTAATCTAATTCTGGTTGCTGAACTGGTAGATGTGACAGGTTGGTCAATAAAGCAGAACACAAATTTTGGTTCATATTTTATACATTTCCAATTTTGACTTAAGGTTTTCATTACGATAATTTGGATTTGAAAATGCAGTTCCCTGTAAATGCAATATACAGAGATCTCTTAGTACTGAAAGTTTAAAAATTTTTTTAATATTATGATCTCATGATCAATCATCTTACAGACCCTAATTCAAATGCTCTTTTATGAGCTTCTACAAATGCAGATTGCATTTGAACTTGTTCTGGATGCTTTGATCTCCACAAGTTTCATTTTTGTAGCAAGTATGTTTTGACTGCAGGTCATGTGATACTTTCCTTCACAAGAAAACAAATCAAATCCATATATCCTCTTAAGTAGTTCACAATCCCCTTTTCTTTCTTGCAACTGCCTCAATTGATTCATTCTTGCCTCATTCAAATGTCATTGTATGTTCAGTTGGTCCAAGAACCCTGGACTTTGATGGCCTTTTTACCTTCTTTTTTGCAAAAAATACAGTATAGATGAAAAATAATTTTATCTTGTGATGCTTTCTGAGAACTTTCTCTTTGACTTGTTGAGGGTAACATATTCAGTCTTTCACCCAATTTAGATTTAATTTTAAACTTCATGTAACAGTCCCTGAGATACCCATGGTGATCAGAAATGTCATTTAGGATTTGTTCACAAATACGGAGCATACAGTGTCAGGAGTCTAATGATTGGGCTAGCCTTTTTTTCTGAATATTTTTAATTTGTTTAAATCGCTCATCAGGATTTTTAGTATTTGTTATATATATAAAATTTTCATATGTCAAGTCATTCTTGTGAAGTATGCAAACACATCCTGGTCCTAATGTAGTATCAAGTATTCTTCTTTTCACTGAATCCATAATATTAGTTCATTAACAAATATAAAATTTACTTTTTTCAATTTATAACATCTGAAATGTCTTTTAAAATTGTAAATTAGTCACATAAAAATGCATACCAATTATTTAAAAATTAGGTTTTTGATGTTTCTCTAGGGGAGTTATAATTCTCTGTGGGGATTAACTCATATTAAAAAAGGGTTTAGAAAATGTGAGGCCTTGATACAGGAACTATGCTCAATTTATAACAATATTAAGAATGCATTTAAATTAGATAAAAAGCATACAACAAAACAAGTAACAATGCAAATAGAATAACTTGATGTAATGAATATGCATACACCTGGGTTCCCCCTCACAGTAATATGATTGGCTGGTGTCAGCCACAAATACCGACTGATTTGGGGGTACATGGACGATGCCTATTGGCTACGCCTATTGCCTACCACTACAACGAGGACCAGTCCATTACGGTTACCTGATAGATTGTCCTACCCAGTTACAGTAGTCAACAACCACTTTGCTACTTCGAACAAATATATCCCTTTCTGGGACATATCATAACTAAATTAATATCTTTTTATCAGGGTTTTCTTTTACAACAATGTAGTGAAAGACAGTGTTCTGATAAATTAAAAAAAGAAATTTGTAGAAAAAGGTCCAAGGCTTTTTCTTAACTAAAATGAATTTAAGAAAAGTGATATGTAATAGCATATATATGCTGGTGTCCTGGTAGAGGAAGAAAGAGGACCCAGGCTACACAGAGACAGTTTATTACCCTGTGTAGATGACTAGAAGAGTAAAATTTATCTTTAATTAAGGGTAATTTGGAATTTAGCAGGAATGAACCTCATTGGTTAATAAGAAACAAAGGGGATTCATTAATTAACAATAATTAGTTCTAATGATATAGTAAATTTTTAATTACTTTATTTTTTTTAAAATTAACTCCAATCAAAAGAAAAGATTCAGAAATAGCTGAAAAAAAACAATGAATTGGTTCTGATTAAAGAATGAGGTGTAATAAAAAATATTTGCTAGTAAACGTTTTTTTTTTTATTTTGTTAAAAGGGACACAAAACAACAGGAAAATACTAATCAAATTGTGTTGGAGGGGGGTGTACATAATTTTCTATGCTATTGTTGCACTTGAAATTAAGATTTTTTCACATTGATTTGATTTTTCTGCCTTTAGTGAAATCCTTATTTACATGACTTTTTAAATTACAATGGGATTTTGGGATAGAATGATCATAACCCTACACAACGAGATGAAATTTATTGAAATTTCACAATCTGAAGAAAAGTTATCAGCTTTAAGGTTTCCCCTTATCCCAAATCCAGATGACCTTTTTGTCACTGGGGGAGGAGGCTGTTACAAATGGGTATCTCTAGTATACTGCTAGTTAACATTTGATTCAGGTACCACAGGTTTCCAGACAAAATACATGGGTACCCGCAAGACAAGGATAACTCTACATGGAATGCTCATGGACATCACAGAAGACTATCTAGGGGCCTTCTTCTCAATATATGGACAAGTTGGTGATGTCTCCTCTGTCATGAGCAAACTGGTATTGCCACTGGGGATTTTGTTCTGCAGGTGACAATGCTAACCTCCAGGAGAGACTCATTGCACCTTCTTGAATTAATGTTTTCTGCCAACATGAAGTGGAAAGTGTATACTAATCTTATTGCAAATCTCATTTTAGATTGCTTATCTTATTGCAATAAGGTAAATAATTACCTGGCAACCTTATCTCAATAAGGTAAATAATTACCTGGCAATTTTATTGCAATAACGTAATTACCTACCAGGTGACTGCTATAAAGGATTGCTTAGAAAACTAATTTCCTTGCTACCAATGCAAGTTTAATCATCTGTTTGGTGCCTTATATAACACTATGATAAATAATTACCTACTAGGCGACTGCTGTAAAAGAATGATTATCAAAGTAATTTTAGAAACTATTCCTACAGTTGTGTTTACTTTTCACTGGTGCCTGCACTATTTGCCATTTTGTAACACAATAAATGAAATAATTGCCTACCAGGTGATTGCTATGTCTGGTTAGGAAACTATCTTTTCAAAGCAATGGCTACAATCATTAATTTGATCATCACTGTATGTCCTTCCCTATTTAGGGCCATATTTGATGATAATAAGGTAGATAATTACCTAACAGGTTATGGCCATAAAAGAATTGTTAGTAAACAGTTGTTACAAGCCATTGTCATTTGGATAATCACTGGGCCCTCCATTGTGTCCTTGTATAACATAAGGTAAAATAATTACCTACCATTTTATTGTCATAAAGGAGGGTGTGTATAAAGTATGTTTAGAAGTCATTGTTATCAAAATGATTGGGATCACCAATATTTCTGGCGTTCTATCACAATAAGTAAAATAATTACCTACTAGTTGACTGCTATAATGGTATGGTTAGCAATCTATTTTTAGGAGCTGGGTCTTCCATTATTTGTAGTTTTATATCACAGTAGTTTAAATAATTA